GAGGTGGGGTTTTTCCCCACGAAAGCTTATGCTCCCAATACTTCTATTAGTCTCAAAGGTGCCACAGGACTCTCTGTTGGTTTTCACATATATAAAGTTACTCATGTATGCAAGAATTTGCAGAATCTGAGCCAATGGCATCATCTGACTCAATGTCAGAATCTGAGTTCTGTAATTATCACAGTTTCCAGACAGTATGGATTTGATCCTGCTTCCACTGAAGCCAATTGTGACTTCAAAGGGGAAAGGATTGAGCCCAGTCATTACATAGCATAAGAATAGAGTAAATAACAGGCTACTAGACAGTGCTTTGGAATGTCCTGTACTATGTTCAAATATGGTGAAAGCTGGCCATATTGTATAGATATGTATAATTGTATTTTTATTTTTAAAACTAAAGTACTTCAGATATAGAGTAAATAAAAAACATCCTGAAAATCTGAAATCTAGTTTTTCTAAAATTTAGTAACATTTTCACATCTTTTAAATCTAGCTTTGTTATAGAAATACTTTCTCAAATACCTCATCCTGCAACGAACTTTGTGTGGATAAAGGTCTATATTTTTATAGGGAAAAATGTGTATAATCAGATATATTGACAACTATTATATTTGAGGCAACCATTAATCAATAAATCTTGAATGGTCATTGAAATGTGACATCAATAGAAGTATTTCACATACTTCACCGTCTGAGTGTGTTCGTTATAAATATCTTCAAATCTTTCCATTAGCACCATGAATTTCTTACAGGTAACAATTGTTAAAATAAAAACAAATATGCAAAAAGGAAATGAATTTAGAGGTAATGGGGGCAAAGTACTTATTTTCAAATGCAACCTTATGTAAATTTTATGGGGAATTATTGTTGTGCCTTCTGATGAGCTAAACAGCATGTATATGGCATCTAACCGGGTAAAATTGTCCAGAGTCAGTCTTTGTCAGGCAACTTACTGACTCATACCTGATTGTTATTAGCCAATCATGAAATAATTTTCTTCCTGCATGTAGACTCTTTATTTTCTGTGGGCCAAGTCCTGGCCCTGAGTAACCAGGCTGTGCACTGTGGATAGCTGCAGAGGTCAAGAAGGAAGGTATCTCCCTTCCGCAAATTCTGAAGCAGCAATGGAAGAACTCTGAGACCACTGCAGATAATAGCTCCTACACCCCTTTGCACATGAGGGAAGGGGAAACAACTGGTGAATCATCAGCCCCTGCCCCACTTCTGACACTGCCCTGTGCATCAAGGTGCAGGGTGTGCAGACAGCAGGCACCTAGCCCTCCACCCCTTACCCTGCAATGGAGCTGTATTTCCCTGTGGTGATAGGGTTTGCCTGTATGTAGCAAAAGTATTGTATTCATTTTCAGTATAAATGTGTGCATTGGCTTTCACATACTGTAATGATTTAAACATAAATAAACATGTTTAGAAAACTCATGTAAAACAAGACTCTTCCAAGGAGCCTAAGGGAGTTTAAGTAGCCAAATCCCAAACAGTTGAGGATTAAAATCTCATTGCCTGTGTCATAGTAGCATGGTAAAAGCATAGAATAGGACCATCCCTCATGCAGTAAAAGCCGCAAGAGGCTAAGGGGGAGGAAAATTCAATGAGGTTTCCTTAACAAAGCTGTTCCATCATCGGGGTTTGCCCCCTCACCATGCCCTCCGTGGGTCTGATCCAAACTCCATGGGTCCTCCAGGATCCACATGAAGCCAGAGCTATTCTCTCAGGCTCTAGAACCCTCTCGTCTCGCCTTCTCAGTTTTTGCTAGTGCACTCCCCGTGGAACTGCACTACCAGAGGTCCAATTGCCCCCAGGACCGCCCTTTGAAAGTGGGGTTCTTATTACAGAAGGGGCTCCACACAAAAGGTAATATAGCCCCAGGTTATATTAGCTTGTCTACTTAATCTCCAAAACACTGGTAAAGAAAGGATGTGCTCAGCCCTCACTGGAAGCCAACCCATTCCCCATGCCCTCTCCTGCAGACATGGGGAGATTTGCACAAAGGATCCTCCATTTGTCGATTCTGGGGCACAGTCTAGCCTATCTTTAACTGCCGCTTAGGAAACATGGAACTAAATTTTGCTTTATTTTAGACTTGTCACTTGCACTGTTTCTTCTCTCACTGACTTTAGTGGGAGTTGCACCAGGATAAAAAACGAATAATTGGCCTTAATATTCTATCCTAAGTAGGAAAGCAAACACTAACCAACATCTTTAAGCACATTACACCCACATATTGAAGAGAGGGTCACCTGTGATCTTAGCAGCAAAAGTGAAATGAAGATAGAGAAAATAAAAGCATTTTGTGCACTACAGGCCCTACGTGCAAACAAACAATTTGCTATTTTATGATCTGGCCCTTGTACTAATTTCCTGTTCACAGAAATTGATGAGCGTCTATTACACTAACTATAGAAAAAGGATTTCCTCTCAGAATTAATTTTGAAACAAATCTCTAGCAACTGTATGCGGAGAAGAGGATTCAGCGTTACGAGTTTAATTTACATCTCCTAGCTGCTGAATAGTCAGTATTAGTTATAGAATGAACATTAGTTCCATCAAGGAAATGTGCTCTAGAATCTAGAGTGGATAAGAGTGTACCAGTTCTAAGTGTGTAACTATTAAGATAGATGTAAAACTTAACATATCTTTCTTATAATTCCAAAGCTTAATTTTTTTCTCTGTTGGCACAGGCCTTTCAGTACATTTTTCAAACTGTATTTTACTTTGAGATTACTTACAATGTCTGCCATGTATCCAAAACCCCTGTTGTATCCCTCTAGATCAGTGGTTCCCAAACTTGTTCCGCTGCTTCTGCAGGGAAAGCCCCTGGCGGGCCGGGCCGGTTTGTTTACCTGCCGCGTCCGCAGGTTCAGCTGATCGTGGCTCCTAGTGGCCGCGGTTCGCTGCTTCAGGCCAATGGGGGCTGCTAGAAGCGGTGTGGGCCGAGGGATGTACTGGCCGCCGCTTCCAGCAGCTCCCATTGGCCTGGAGCAGCGAACCGCAGCCACT